AAATAATAAACTAAATGACTTGTTAAGACTGAGGGAGCATTAGAATTAGCATTATTACTAATAGTAATAATGCTGGTGATGGCTGTAGTAAGTCAGTAACAGTAGTAGCCATGGAAGTAGCAACAGTAGTGGTAATGGCAGTGTAGCCATAGTGGTTCAAGTGGGGGTAGAAACTGTTGTATTAGTAGCAGTGGTACTACTTGAAATAAAGACAACTGTTTAATAAGCCTGTCAACATCTGGCATCTGTATTGGTGCATTACAACACAAGGTGGATAGCAGAGTACACACACACACACACACCAGAGACAAACTGCACTGGACCTCTTACAGACAGGGAGAATGGACTGTACAGAGATAGAGGAGAGAAAATGGGGGGGGGGGGGTAGGAATGGCAAGTTAGGAAAAGTCAAAAACTTTAAGTGGTCTAAAACTTTTCTCCCCGCCCTGTCCACTCCATCATTTTCTGCCAAATTCCTCCCATCAACACCTCCATTCACACTCGTTTATCTCTCTTACTATACCCTCCCTATATCTCTCCCTCCCTCTCTATCAGAGAAACAGAAACAGGGTAGAGTTAGCCTGGAGGCAAGTCTATTTAGATCAGCTATTTTGTAATTCCTTTTTTTCTGCAGTAAAAACGTCCTCAGCTTTTCCCTGAAGGGCGCTAGCGGCTCATTTATGACATACACTGTGTATTTCTATGGCAACACATATTTTCTAAAAAAGCCCATCATGGGACAAGTGCCGCAAATGAGTTTATGCTATAAATACTTTGGCATGTGGCCGTTTATTTAGTGAATATTCTTTATCTATGCATGTGTTTTTAATGGTATGTGTTCATTTACTGTGCATGCAACAGCACAACCAGCAAGTCTATCGGCTTTTTTTCCCACGGAGGCTATTTTTAACTCTCATCACATTAAAAGTGTGAAACTTTACCCAGAAGACACAGCACAGCCCAGCATTTTCCTAATGTAGCTAATGTATGCCTGGAAACAAATATGCATCATTTTACATGTTAAAAGATTAAAGATAAACCCATAAATAATAAGTATGTCTCTGAAATCTGGAGGGGAACTGAAAGGCTGATATTTAGGGCAGTAAAATGACAGTACAGTGTCTAAAATCTAGAGGAAGTAAAAACAACTAAATAAAGAACAATTTTGATTCTTTACCACAAGTGTGTTGCTGGAGTTTTTGTTTCTCCATACACCTGATTTTCCAACTGGGCTTCTAAAATCTAAAAAGGTAAACTGGGTGATATTTTAAGCAGTCTCACTTCACCCACTTTAGCTTGTTAGCAGAAATTAGCTAGTACAGCTAACATAGCAGCTAACGAGCAACTCCACTACCCTCCTTGATAAATTCCTGCAATTCTGCCAAATTTGATAACAGAATTTATTGCCGGCTTATTACACAGTCAAATACTAACTTCAGCCTAAAAAATCTAAAGGCCTAATGTGTGACTTGTAAATGGGTTTCTGTGCAAACATCATCGGTTTTTGACCTTGAATGTGCACGCACCTATTGGCTAATGTTTGTAAGCAAGAAACCCATCTACAGACTATGCTTGTAGTATAAACCGCTAGTTATTTATTTACTTTCACCTTCCACAAATCCACAGGAATCCATCCGGTCCATTCAACAAAAATCTAGTTACTTAGGTTTTTATGCGTCAATGTCCAATTGCTTTTTTGTTTGTTTGTTATGTGTTTTTCTTTGTTTTTTTTTAAGAATCAACTAAATTCACATCATCATGTCATAATTTCTTTGTCTTCTAGGTTTGAGTCTACAAGCAAATAACATAAAATAGAGTTGCTTTAGAAAGTAGTCAGCAGTAACGTTGTTTGTAGATAAAACACAAAAGTACTACCATGGTCCTTTTATATGGAACAGTAATTAGGCTGCTATACATAATGGCTGCCGTTGTGAACTATATGTAAGATCATACCAAAATTCACCAGAGATATGGAAATCAAACTTGGCCTCTCCCTACATGTAAATACATCCATGGTCGAAATGCTCCTCACTTCAGTGCTACTGGAGTCTAGAGTGATTCTGCTCCATCTCTGGGCCTCTCTTCCCTGAGAAACACACACATGTACACACAAGCATACACACAGCCAGTAACCAGGATAGCCAGCAGGACAGTCCATCATTTGATTTGGACAAAGTGTTATTAAAACCCACTTAGTCCTGGCTGTAAGAGCTATAAGCTATGGAAACTATGCAGTCGGCCACAGGCTGAAAAAGACAGGCCTGCAGACATCTGCTTCAAATCTGACCAAAAACAGCAGAGAGTGAGAGGGAAGAGGCTGGGAATACTTTGAGAATACTGTTACTAAGACAGCATCTCTCCCATTCATTCATCATGACAGCACACTTTGTTTCATGTCATTATAACCCTTCTTCCATCTCAAAAACAATCTGAACATTTCCAAACAAGCACTGTAAGCAAACTTCTGGTTTCCAAGGCGAACTACTGCAACTAACAACTGATGCCTGCCAGCTGAAAGAAGACAGAGCTTTACATGCCCCACACACACACACACACAGTGCATGTCTAAACGAGTCGAGTCTAGTTTATGTTGTATAATCCCATATCAAATCCAGCATATCAATTCATCTTCACAGGCCCACAACAGCAGGCAATGCCCAACCAGTGATAACAAGCTCTTTAAGACGAAAAAAGAAACTTCCCTCCAAAAGATCTCAAGACACGAGGTCACAGAGGAAAGACAGATCCCTTCTTCTTGGATGGTGGGAGTGAAAAATCAAAGCAAATAAATAACAAAAACATTTTTTAATTTTGTAGAAATCCAAACCACAACCATGGGATGATAACTTAAAAATAGATTTATAACAGTCCCAGCACTAATTCAATATTTAAGAGTAGACTTGTCCAGTCAAGTCAGTTCAACTAAGTAAGTCCATCAATATAATAAGTCCAACATCAGTTCTTGATAAAAGATTCATTTAGGCAATATTCAGTGGTAATTAATGGTCCAAGGCGTTCTCCAAGTTTACTGACTACTCCCATAAACTAGCACGTGGCCCAAACAGTAAAAAAATGCCGACCGCTGAAAGCTGTGAAGTTTATTGTATTCTCACTACAGCTACGAGCCCAACAGGCCCACAGGCCACCAGGAGAACACTTTACTGCAAACAGTAATTTGTGGTGACATCGTGAACACGCCCACTGCCGTGTGTGTGTGACTGTGAGTGTGAGAGACAGAGACAGAGAGACAGACAGACACACAGAGAGAGAGAGAGAGAGAGAGAGAGAGAGAGAGAGAGAGACCAGTAGCCCACCTTATTGTGTATTGTACAGAAAACAATAATTTTTGCTCCAGCTCGCTGAACCCCCTCCACCCCCAAGCAATTTCACCTCTCATTATAGGAACATTGCCACGTGTGTGTGTGTGTGTGTGTGTGTTCAGTTTTACATATGTGCGTCCATATCAAAATAGCTTTGGAACAGCTTTTCAACGATTGAATGGTAACAACACACGGCCAAACTGATGGTCAATGAATAGATTTAAATCACAAAAGTCACAAGCACAAATCCATATGAAACTGTCATTATGAAGAAAATCAAACACAGATTTGTCACCAACACTGACCTGGAGATTTGTTCCAATAGTTCAATTTAGAAAAGCAACTATAACAGAGTCTGCGTGCAACGTGATGATGCTGTGAGTTTGAGCTCCACCGTTAATGAGCTCAATTTAGTAACTAACACTGTTATGACGTTGTAGAAAACGTTATGATCAAAATATCTGCTTTATTCAGAGCCAATCCCTATCACTACTGTCAATACCTGAGTCAACATTTCAGTCAGTGTGTCATACAGAATTAGCAGCTAATGCCAAGTAAGGATCAAATAAAAGAGTGGGAAGAAAATAACTCATTTAGTCACAACGTGTACTCACAGCAATCGTTTTCACAATAAAAGATTTAAAGAACAAAGGAGCACTTGGAAATTTGGTTTGGTTTCAACCCAACGTGGTCAGCATTGTACAAACATTTGGCCGATGGCTCGAGCTAATTCCCCACATTGTGAGCGGGTCAGGATGACGGGCACAGCAGCTGGCTGTGAGCACATTCACCGCTGCGGTGAAAAGGCCTCCTGAAATGTGGTCCAATAGCAATCATGAACCTCACCATGAGTCATCAGCAGATAATAAGGCTCCTCCGTTTGGCTAAGGAGAGCTTTGAACTGTGGCTGCAGCATTTCACAGCAGGAATCCTTAAGTAGAGTTTCAAGTCCTTTTCACAAGGAATGACAACCAAAAAAAAAATAAAAAGAGTAGCTGGCTGCATGAGTGGTTGCTCTGGGATGTTCTCAGACCGTATAAAACCACCTAAAAGGGCAGCTTGGATTTATTACCAAAAAAAGAAGAAGTCTTTGTGTATCTGAATTAAGTTGACTAGATAGATGCTCTTACTTAGCATTGCCCTGATTCCCTGCTGCTTATTGAGTTCTTGTACTGTTTCCAGCAACCAGCTCCTCCTGGGTTCCCATTAAGTGCCTTACTTAAAGAAACTTCAACACTTCTCGTTCAATTTCCAGGTCCTTAAAGACCATCTGCTTAAAATCCAAATCATCAAAGATCCAACAAATAACCCACTTTCCCTTACTTCTGCAACTCACAAGACAAATCGATGGTGCTGGCTGTCCAGCAATACAGAAACCAATGGATCCCACAGCAGACTAAAACAGCAGCACAACAGAATCCAAAGCAAAGAGGAATGAAGAGACTGGTGAAGATAAAAGAAGTAAATGAATGAGTCAAAGTAGAAAATAGAGACAAGGTAAAAACAGATAGAGGATTGGGGAATTCGGATTTCGTCAAATCCCCAATGAGCAGTCCGCTCATCGTGACCACCACATCACACTCACACCTTCACGTTCTCACACCATCAGCAGTAACGCAACATCACACGGACACAGAGCATGAAACGACTGCACCGTCATTATGATTCAAATCTACTCACAAGATCTCGTCGTTCTGAAATTCCAGGATGCCGTGAGCGTCTTCAAAGTCCTCTCCGCTGCCTCGTGCTGTTCCCTCCACCGTCTTGTAAGGCAGCATGACCACGCCGCGAGCCCCCGACGTTCTCAGCACCTTCACCTCCATGGTGCCAACGCTCTCGCTCACGTGGCATACAGGCTCCTCAAATGTAAAGATACCGGCGTGGTCGTCGTCAAAGATGGTAACGGTCGCTGCGGAGGGCAAGCCGAGACAGGCCACCGAGTCCACGTGGTTAGCTGACTCGCTTTCCTCGGGCTCCTCGCCTTCTGACGTCAACACCTTGACATTGGATAGGTGAATCAGGAAGTTTTCATCCTCCTCAAAGATGTCATCGTCAATGATCCCCACACGGATCTCCTTCATCGTCTCGCCAGACTTGAACACCACCACGCCCTCTGTGAACTCGTAGTCCGAGCCAGCGTTGGCTGTGCCGTCTTCTGTCCGGTACTCCACAGAGACCGTCTTGCCCAGGTCACCGCCACGACGCACCACGTTCACCGCCACTGTGCCGCAGTTCTCGAGACACTGGTAAGAACCGGGCTCGAAGTAGATCTTAGAGATGGGGTCGTTGTCACCCACATCAGAGCGAACCTCGTGCATGCTGACGGCCTTTCGTGCCTGATCGGCAGCGTGTTTCTTCAGGATGTTGCCAGCACCTGTCATCAGCCTGGTGGCCTGGCAACGGTAGAAAGCACGACTCTTCTGCTGCTGGCTCAGGACTTGGTAGTTGGCAAGCTCGATGAGTTGTTCCACCTGGTAAAGAGAAAAACATAAAAGCACACAAACAGTGTAAAAACATGTCCTCCAGAATGATGAGTGGATGTGGTGTCGTATCCTCTACTGCGGGGGACAAAAAAATCTTTTTTATTGTCAACTTGTCTGCTCGAATAAGAGTCATTGTTGAACACTGGGCTTGACTGGCTGAATTACAGACATTCATCTATCTCGTCTGGATAAATAAGACTTAAAGCTGCGTCATGTGGATGAATCTAACATTAGAAACAGTCAAAGAACAGTGATTTTAGAATGAGTCATGTTGTTACACATCAAGCACGGTGAAATTTCAATCAACAGTGTATATGGCATATGGATCAGATTATCCAAGGCTTCATGTGAGGTCTTACACAGCTGTACATGATGTGTAAAGTGAGACAAGAAAAGCTTGATTATTTCATAAGTACAGTAGTCATTCTTAAAAGGAGAGGATCCAGGTTCAAGCCCACATGAGCAAACATCCATCCTGCTGAGGTATTCTTGAGAAATGCACAGAATTCCTGGGTGGATCTCAAGGTTTTCCTTCACTCCACTAGTCCTCCTCTCTTACCAGATTATTATTGTAGAAGATCAGGGGAATAGATTGGACTAAAGTTGATGATGTTCAAGATCAGAGACATTTGCAGTAGCTTATCTCTCCACAGGCAACTGCTAACAACAAGGTCGTGCCAGGCTGAATAATGGATGGTCAATTGTCAATTTTTATATTCTCTTTGCTAATAAGTAAAACATATGTCTACAAAAAGGAGTAGCTTCATCCTCTTCAATATCAATTTCCAGGTCTCAAACAAAAATGAAGTTGTACCTTTAGGATCCAACTCCTCTCGGCTATAGATATAGATCCACTGCAACCAACAATGCAGCAGCAGTGTCAAAGCACTGGATGTCGAAATACGACTGTGAGGCGAAAGGATTTGAGCAAGTATTGGACAACAGGTTAATCAGCCTCATTGTTAATCCATACAGAGATGAGGGCAGAGGCGTAAAAACCTATTTTAGCAGGCTCTCTCATGCATGTAAGAGGAGTTGCCATTTCAGCAGCTTGTCTCGATGCTCGCGGCTTCCATTATGCTTTTTAGTGGTAAACCTCAGCCAAACAATAAGACGAGCACAGGCTGGAACAAACATCATCACGCCATACTTGATGGCTACAATATATTGCTGTTTTTTTTAAAATCTTTTTTCTATTTAAATCTATTTAACTTTTATCTGCCAAGTCAAGGTAGGTTCTGTAAAATTTATAATCTATGCAGTACTATACAATACCATACATCCCACTGAGTGCGCCGATATAATTTCTTACACTGTAACTGTATACTGTACAATATATCAAGACCTAAGTAGACACTATAAGACTCTATGTTAACAATAAAGGTCTGCAGCAATAAGAAATTCCTATATTTTTATGATGCCTAGGGGACTGAACTGCCAATATTAGAACTGGACTATCTGTGCTTCTCTTTTTATTTATATTGATTTAATGGCTTCTCCATTTCCTTTGCAATTTTCTTTTTTCTAAAAGATGTATCAATATCAAATTAATCTGAGAGGTTGTGATGAGACCTTAGCTGCATTCATTACCATACTCAACTGTGATAATAGAAGGAAATAGAAAGTGCACCATCTGTTCCTGTTTATTTTGTCATTTCATTTCCTAAACAAGAAAACAACCCTGACAGGAGCCGCAGCGACAGGATGTTTTTCATGTCAAACTGCCATTGCATTTTATGTGAAGTCCCGCTCACCTCCTTGTCGGGGTGTTTCTGTTTGAGCTCCTTCAGGATCTTGGCCATGTCTCTCCGCGTCTCCTCCTCGTCCAGATCCTTCTCATCCAGATCCAAACCCAGCGGGCCATCCAGGAAGTCAACACCATGAGAGTTCAGCATCTTCCCGTCCATTTCAATGTCCACCTTATGAACAGAGAGGAAGGAATTTTAAATCAGTGCCACAGAGTTTGATTCTTTGGAGCAACATGCTAAGTCTTAAAGCACTCTCCTGGCGGTATCATGGAGGTAAACTGAGAAGTGGCTGTTTACAAAGAATGGTTTTGAATATCAATAACAACCATGTAAACAAAGGCAGATGGCTGTAGTTTTTGAGGTGTGGTGCATTCCCTGGTTTTGTTATAGCATCCAAGCAATTATTCAAAATGAATCTTCATGTTCATATATGTACTAAAGAGTTTATTTTGGGAGGATTCAGCCAAGTTTTAAGAGTTGACTGCTTTGTGATATTTTTACTAATTTCCCAAACCACACATGTACATTTTTGCTGTGCACATGACTAGACTTTTATAGCAGCATCAGCTTTTATTAGATATGTTAATACATTAGCCACCTGTTTCTGAAAATCACACCATTTTATAGCCCTCAGAGAAAAAAGGTAGACATCCTATTTTCCATTGAGTACAGTTTTATTGGTGAAATGTGTTTTTGTTCTTGAGGCAATTTAAAAACTTGTAAATTATTAGGCATCCCCCTCAGGAACACTGTTTGGTTGGGTTTTATTCACCAATTTCTTTTTCGACAGAAGTTGAAATGAAAAGAGCTCTTCATGTACTAATGGAGGAGTGATTCTTAATAATCTCATCTAAGAAACGCGCAGAGATAATAACAAGAAATTTTCAAATTTGGAAGAACAGACAGTGAGAGACTCTCAGTTAACCAAGTGGTGAATAAATGCCCCCAACACCACATCGCTGAAAATGTAATTAGATGCGTACAAAGCAGCAGATAGTAGTCAAAACAGGAAATTAAAAAGTAACAATACTTAAAAAGCATTTGTGTGTGTTTGCAGTAAGATGCTTCATAGCATTAGTTTGTCTTGGCAGAATTCCATTCAGTAATGCTGATAATTATTTCAGATACGCATTACTCATGAACCCACTTCCGCCTACACACAGAGTGCTTTATCTGCTTCTTTGTTTTTTCCGCTGCATGTTTGGATGGGGACAGCTTAATTAATTTTTACTGGTTGGCTGGTCTAAAACTATATGCCCTTGGAAAAGAGAGTTCCCAGCATGACTTGTTTTCTTTAGATTCTTTATAATAGTCAACGGAGGGATTTTAGCTTCTGAAATGCTCCTAAGAATCCCACACTTACATGAGGCACGATCCAGACATAGCACAATGTAATTTTAATCATTTGTAACATCATCAGCATCATGGATTGATTTCGAGAAAATATTTACGAGAAACAAACTGTTTTTCAGGTGAAAAGTCCAAATATCTGAGCATGTTAGATTCAGCTGAATTTAGATGAAATAGCAGCAGATGGGATTATTATCAGAGGTAGTGGAAGAGGTTGTTATTACTGCAATCTCTACAGCATCTAATGATGGTGGTTGAAAGAGCAGTTATAGAGTTAGAGTTTTTCACAGGTGTGAATCTCAACATATTGCTTGCAATCAATACTAAAGGATAAATGTGGTTTAATACCACTTAGGAATTATTTTCATAGCTGTGACCATCATTTCTGTCAATATAAACAAAGAGATTGGTGAGAGCAAACCTGTGCTAAGTTGGTTCAGGGAGACGTTTCATTAACTGTGATGGAAGTTTAAAACCAAAGGTTTGGGTGACAATTTTTTTCTCATCAAAATAGATCATATATCAATAGGTCAGTAATTAACTTTGACATACATGTACCAACAGAAATTATGGCCAAAACTATGACAATAAGCCATGATTGACAATGACAATGACCCATGTTGAAATAAACCAGAATTAGGCTTTAAAGATAAAAACCATCTCGGAAGTTGATCATTGTGGTAGAAACCTTTGTTGGCTGTTAATCATTTTACCGTTTCAGCAGCTAAGGAAAGCTTTAGTATGGTGGTGATAGGGGAAATACTAATAGGATTACTTTAAGTAGTAGTGGTAGTAGTAGTAGTAGTAGTGTGTTAAGTATACCTTGGAAGGAAGTGGACGATCGCCCTCTGTCTCAATGATCATTCCACGTTGCTTGCCAGTGCGGTAGCGTTTGTACACATACTTGTAGAACAGCAGGCGGCGGTCGGCCACCCAGGCGAACACCACACAGATGGGGAAGAAAAAGAACGTGAGCAGCCCCTCCCACACCTGCACCACACCAGGCGAGATCACAGACAGGATCAGGTAGAGCCAAATGTAGGCGAAGATACTCCAGGTGGCCGTGACGAAGAAGACGCGGAGGTGCTTGACCTTCCTCGTCTCGCCATCAGGCACGACGTACACACAAATCCCGATGATGACAAACATGTTGAACGCCGCAGAGCCCACAATGGTGGAGGGGCCCAGAGTTCCAGCATGAAACCCATGACCCATGACCTCTATGACGGACAGCAGGATCTCAGGAGCCGAAGAGCCCAGAGCCATGAGGGTGAGATTGGAGACGGTCTCGTTCCAGATCCGAACAGTCGTGGTGGTGGTCTCCCCATTGGGTTTCTTAATGGTGATCTCCTTTTCCTGTGACGTGATGACCTCTATTGATGCCATGAAACGGTCAGCAATGATCGACACACCCAAAAACATGTAGACCAGAGCCACGAAGTAAACTGTTGCCCGAGCGACCTTGTCACCAAACGATGGGTTTTGGGGCTCCCAAATAGGTAGGATCACTCCCCTTGCGCACGCCTCAGCCTTGCTGCATTCAGTTTTATTGGTGGACACTGCAGAAACGGAGCCGCCCAAGCTCGTCTGAGGGGGGGCCCCGGCCGATGAGGGATGGAGCTTGAGGAGGAGAATCACCGCGACAACTGCTAGCCTCACGGCAGGGGACAGGAGGGAGGAGTGATCCCAGCGGCCCATGGTGACGTCTAGACCAGTACTGTGAGGTGACGATTAATGAGGATCTTGAACCTTTAGAGAGAAGAGAGAAGAAGAGGAAAGAAATCACATTAGACCATCACAGACCTGATGAATGTTGTTAGAAATAGTAACATATTTGTGTGAAAAGGGTTTGATTCCCTCCTTTAATTTGAGTTTACACTGCAATAATCTATATTATTTCAAGACTAAGTATGGCACTTACAATCATTTTAATACCCTTTTGTATCTAGGAAACTAGATGTCACTTCTCCAACAATTTGTAGAGTGTAAACTCTCATTTCCCCTCTTTCAACTCAAACGTGTAGATATAACAGATGACATGATTTTGTGTTGTAGCAAAAAGACAAAACAAGTTGAAACCACTTTGTTGAAGCTGTGTGTAACAACTTTGGTTCATATTTGTTTAACGTCTAGTAAGCAGTGAAAGGTCAAATCTGCATCCTGTCTGAACGAAACACCTCTGCAGACTTGATGAGCACAGAGGCTGCTCACTTAATGACACACAAAAAACAGCCCAGTTCACTTCCAGGCATGAAGAACCTTAGAAACACAACATCACAAAACCAAAAACATATGTTTCAGGTAAGAGATTTGCAGAGCTTTTTAGGGGCAGCGAGTTCGAATGACCACACCAAAGATAAACTTCAGCTCCTGGGCTCAGCACTATACATTTCCAAGGAACAGCCACATTACTGTAGCAGTAATATCCTCATGTAACCTGGCCAGGAGTGGCTTTCTCTGATAACAGTCTGCTTCACTTCTGTCAACAACACCGGGTTATAAATTAGGTTACTTCAATCAGACGGCTTTGTGGCCAGTTGGCCATCATTCGAAGGTAATTGTGTTTTCTACATTGTATTTCTAAAGGCTGAATGGTAAGATAAGGAAGGCTGCCGGTAAACTTAGGAAGGCAGTAGTGCATACCCATACAATGGGCTCTGAAATTACCATAAACGTTTATTGATCTTTCACAGTTTTGAGTCTTGGGAAAAAACATAACATCATAAGCCCCACAAGTCTTCATTTCACATCTGTTGTACCACCTTGTACCGGTGCTGCTTCTATTGTGTCAGCACCCAGTAATTGGATTTTCTGACTGAGCAGGGGGCAAACAAAGATGTCCATTTTTTTTTTGTATTTAGCTCTTCATCAATAAGCTAATCTATTAAAACAACTAATCAATAAATCACTACACAAAATTAAGGTTTGTCATGCATTAAGTGTTTTAATGTACCGTATATTCAACCTTTAATCGTATCAATTTGAGATTTGACATGTTTGTTGCACTCAGCTGGTTCCATTCTGGTCTGTTACTGTGGGTTCGTCAGTCCACTTTCTCTTTTATATTGTAAATTGGTGGAATCGTAAATGCTTTTTTGTGTATCACATTTTCTACATTTCTGTCTGTTAAGAAAAAAAAAAAAATCAATTGCAGTCACTGAGAAACTGTTTAAATATCATTTACGTGCACTGAGGAGGATCTGTGTGGACCACTATCAGAGAAACCACAAAATCCCAACACAGATTTCAAATTAGTCATTCAGTTTCCATGTAATTGCTTCCACCGAACATAAACAGAGGCAACAGATTGAATGTACAAAAAACAATTTGCCTCAAATCAATTTCAATGATGCAAGTGTCCCTGTAGCCCGACGCATATTCAGCACAGCTACCACTTATAATGAGCTATTCGCACATTGTTGGGTCATTTTCTGTGGGTTGAATATTCCATCTGACTGTAATTTGTATGGTTATGATCCAGAGAGTACTCATATTTTTGTTTAGTTAAAACTCCTTGCTGTATATATGAAGGTGTGCTTTCAGGCAGAGTTATAATCATAACTGTAGACTTTATAAAAAAAAACTGTTTTCTGAGCCTTTTTATACAGAATAGAAAATAAACACATACATCCATGAGCAATGTTTCCTCATTGTGCTGGAAATGTGGACAGCATTAAGTTTCTCACAAAGCAAGACTGTTGCAGATTAGTAGCATATAAACAAGACTTGCTATCAGCGGGAATTTAAAAGAACTTAAAGAACTTAAAAGAACAAATGTGCATACTGTAGGTGGTCTTTAATCAGAGAAAGGGAAGCAGACGCCGGGAAAAGGATGTGGGTGATTCTATATTTTAGTTCAACTTTCGGAGAACCATCCCCTCCTGAGGTTTTTAGGGGATAAAAAGAAAATGCAAATACCCCCATTTCAATGCTGCCACAGAATAAGTGAGCATGCAGACAGATTTTGAATGTGTATGCCGATGTATTCTCTATGGAGCTGACACTGCCTAAAAGCACTGAAGAGAATGCAGTACCGCCTGTGGCTCAGCACACCACTGTGCCAAATTTGTGGCAATCCAAATCTCACTCATAATGACAAATCTCAATCTAATGGTGGCATCAAAGCAAAAGTCCAGTGATCGCCACCATCATTAGGATTCATCCTCTGGAGATCATCAACATTGGTACTAAATTTCATGGCAATTCATCCATTAGATTTCAAGATATTTCACTAAAAATCCAAATTGTCAACCTCAAGGTGACGCCAACATCAGCAGGATTCATCCTCCGGTGACCATGAATTTCTGTACTAAGTGAGCAGCAACCAAATAGTTGTTGAGAGATTTCAATCTCAACCAAAGCAGCACATCGACCGACTAAAAGACTGACGTTGCCATCCCTATCGCCATGCCATTAGCATGCCAAGAAATATCATTTTCATTGTGATATTGATTTCAAATACGTCGCCCAGTCCGGTGCCAGAGATGGTGAAAGTGGAGCTCTGGTTACTCTGGATTTTCAAAACCAGAAGAACAACTCATTTAACTCTCACACAGCTCTAGAGACTTGTCGACACACATTGGAAATTAAGACTGAAACAGAGCTAGTGTGGCCTGGCACATTATTAGAGAAGGGTTTTGATTTTCTAGGTTGTAGGCAGCAAGTTCAGCTTTGTTCTTGTCGATATCTTTGTTTCTGTCTTTATAATTGTCTTCCCACCTTTTCCTCAACAGACCCACATTGCCTAAAGACAAACGATAGATCCGTACCTGCCTGGTCATCACACACGATGTTGGTCCTCCTTTTACTCACCCTCACATCTGGATAGACATTTACCCAGGAACAAACTTTTACAACTTAGAGCTTTAAAAGAAGGCACTGCTGCACACACACAAGTAGTAATCCTTTTAAATCAGCGATCAATAACAAGAACCAAGATCCGAAACAAAGATCAGCTTAGAACTCTCCTCAAACAAGCTTCTTCCACATATCCCTGCATGCCAGCATCCATTTCCTGATAATTAACTGTTCACACTCTTCATGCAGACACAGCACAATTCACCAGACATCAATAGTTACATCAGTACTTTCCTGCTTTTCTTCCTAACACAATACTTATTATAGATGAAGCTGTGAATTACCTCACAACATGAATCACATTTTCGCTCACATAACGTGCAGCGAAGCTCGGCAGCCGTGGGGCCCTGACACTGTTTAAAACTCAATGAACAACACAGACTACGTCTCCACTGTGGATGTCATCAATGTTTGCATGTTCAGTCTAGATATACATTATATACTGTAGAATGTGTGTGTGTGTGTGCAATGTATAACCAGTCCACCAATGGTGAATTTAAATATTTAGGCTGAACAAACCATGCGTGGGCTCAGCTGTGCTGCGAGAGCGTTTTGCTCAGATGTTAAGAAAAATCAATTTCCAAATAAAATCACATGTCTACTTAATTAAACTGCAATTCAGTGAGCTCATAACCGAGCATTTTCCTTCCTGGCTAATGCAAGCTCCCTGCCTTCTACAGTCTTCTTGTGTGGTCACAGAGGGCTTTGTGTGGCAATTCCAAGTGATCAATAATTCAGTGTGCTTTGGGATTTGGTTGTTTTCACTTAAGGATGTCATTTTTTCTAACAGGCTGATGGCTGAAGAGGGTTTTCTGTAGCTTCTATACACCAGTGGATTCTCAAGGCGGGGCCCAAGAAATTTTGGATAATAGAAAAAACCTAGTAAAAAAATAGTAAATATAATTGGATACATTTAGGTAAAAAGGGCAAGTTAAACAAATGTTCGAATGAAATCGTATCATCAGAGCAATGTGTGTAAAAAAATACAGTGGAAAATCTTACAAACAAGCTGTCAGAGGTCTTAAAATGTTAATGTCACAGTTCTTACGAGCACGACTGAGGAGGCAGATGTACAAGTGAAGAATCAAGAGTGCAAAAATCCAAGCAGCAAACAAAGTGAAAAGAGATTGGCTGAGACAATATCCAAAAAACACAGGCAAGGTCCAAACGATGAATGATCAGGATCAGGATGAAAACAGGCAGGAAAAGAAGAGAACAGAGCGCTGGCGAGCTAAGGCTCATGGCACAAAGACAATCTGGCAGAGAGCAAGTGGAAACAGACAGACTTATATACTAGGGAACTAATGAGGGAATAGGGAACAGGTGAGCAGGTGAGTGAGGAGGAGGAGCCAGTAAGGTGAGTCTATAGGCGGGAAAGGCGGGCAGGTGGGAGGGGCAAGGTCTGAAATGACAGCAGAAAAAGAACATGTACTGTCCGCACAAACAACTGGACCGGGTGAATGAGAGGATGAATGAGCAGACTGACACAGTAAAGATGACTCAACAATAACCTCTGTCATCCTGGCTGTGACCCCGCCCTCCTCATGACATCAGCACCTGTGCGTCTTTACAATGGAGAGAAAGCCACATTAAAAAAAAGAGAAAGTTCTAGTTGGAGTCTGATAGATTCATCACAGGCGGGAAAAACGGGCGATTTATGTCTTGCACTTTAATTTCTTTTGGTGAGTCAGCTCATTCTCACAAATTCAAGTAACTGTGCAGGTATAAAATCTCCCTCTTAAAAGGTCCAATGATGCTTAGCAGACCAAGATTTATACATCACGGAAAAGCGTTTTAATCAAACCCCACAGCTTTTATGGCTTATTATCTCTATGTTTCCT